GGATGACTGCAAGCTTATCACTGGGTATAAAGCAGAGAGTCTTTTCAGTTACAAGCATCCCGTTGGAGGCTAACCTATCCATCAGACAAGGTTATCAGGTGTTAAACCTCTCCTTTCCATGGAAGCCTAAGTGTCTACACATTTATGTGTAGAGTTAAGAGAGAACAAACACAAAGAAACTCAGTACTGTCATGAGGGGTCATAAAACCCCAGTGTGCCACAGGAACTAAGTGGGTTACCCGTAGGCACTTGAAAAATTCTTTCCTATCTCTGTGGACCTCTTGTCAGGTGCTGAACTGGCTTTATGGATTTGGCCTTTCAACTCTCTCCAACTCAGTTCCCTGGCTGCACAGAGGGACACAGCCGTGCCTTGGGGCTGGGAAACTGCAGGGTGCTTTGGTCATAATTAAATTGTGCAGAAGCAACTGAGAATCTGCACCGCTGAGGATGCAGAGGACAAAGTAAGCTCCCATTGCACCCCACTGATGTCCTTTGTGGTGGTGGCCCAGAGGGCAGCTAAGCAGAGGCATTGGATTCAGCTAACAAGCCCTGTTTGCGAGCCACAAAGCGGCCGGGACGGTGCAGAGCTGCAGAGAACTACTGAGTACCAAATGCTGCACCTGGCTGTCCCTGGGATCCTCACTCAGAGGGGAGGTGCACGGCACCCACTCAGAGCAGGAGGGGGGTGTGTGGGGAGGGAGGTGCACAGCACCTGCCTGCTCCTCTGCTCCTCCCTCCTCATAGCAAGAGAAATGCGTTAGCAACCTCCAAAATCATCATCTCCCAAGGGAGAAAACTGCCTCCGTCCTTACCAGCTCTGGTACAGGGACTCATCAGTGAGTCCTTAAACCGAGTCCTTAAACAGGCGGAGAAATCAGAACTATTCTGCGGCATTTTCCTGTGGTATCACAAGTGTCTCTGCAATACCCAGTAGAGACACTATTCCTAAATTAAACCCACACTAATTCAATCCTATATCAGACAGGACAAACTTCAAGAGCCATACCCATTAAAAACTTTCCCCAACATCTGTACTTAAGGACGCAGAAGATTCTCTTATCACTTGAAGTCACTGAAGCAAGAGGTCTCTTTCTAAAAGAGGTGTCCTGACACACAATACCAAGTCCTGAGGCAAGAATTACTTGATGAAATTCCATTACTTCAATAGAAACAGTATCCAGGCATCCTCTTAGTACAATCCCCAACCATTCTGCCCAGACCCAGCCAGTTAGTTCTGTGTGGGTTTCAGATGGTGGCAGGACCTGGGAGAGCCCAGGTGCCTTGGGGATGATGAGAAAACAGGGGAAATCCATGCCAGTCCATTCTGTGGCTCGAGGCACTCAGGGAGAGAAAACAAACACCTTGCCTCTCCCCCCAGCCACCCAATTAGCCAAGGAGGGAGCCACGCTACACTCATACCTGAGGAGCATCCATCCACCCAACCCACGGCCTGGCTTACTGTCCCATGGGAGCAAGAGAGAGTAGGGGATAATGGGCAGGGCATAGCCCCAGAAGCAGGGGAGGGTACAGTGTCCAACACAAGAAGAGTCCACAAAGATACATGGACTAGGACAGGGAGAAGCAGCCCAAAAGCAGGGCTGGGAACAGCTCTGGCCAGAGGAGGAGGAGACAGGGCGATACTAGGTGCCTGGGAGAGAAGAAGGGTGGCATAGGCTGCCCTTGAAGAGGGAAAAGCCCACAACATCTAGGAGAAAGTATTAGAAAGTTATTGTGGTGGTAAAAAGAGCAGATAGGTACATTTGCAAGTCACTGGTGGGCAAGGTAAAGGCTGGTGTCCATTTCTATTGAGCAACCAGCCACATACCAAAGGGGTCACATGCTGTGGCTGCTTGGTATCCACTACTGTTTCACAACTAGGCACTCACCAGCCTTCAGCTGAGACTATTCTCATTAAGATGGGCTTGATGAGGTACTCCTTTCAAGCTCTCCTGAATGCACACCTCCTTCCCTTGAGGTCAAAGATGACTTCCTCACTGGACGCAAAGGCCCTTCTGCATGCACACAGGGCAGTCAGTGGTGCTGCCCAGAGTAGGCAACTGGGGTCATCCCCCCCATCACCCGGGTCTACCTAGAGCTGGCTGTCTCAGCTTCCTCCACACTTCAGGGTGCCAAGAGGGGCTGAAGAAGCAAAGCTTAGAGCAGGGCCTTGGAAATCTTCCCCAGGATGCTGCTAGGGCCTCCAAGGCATTCTTGGGAAGTTCAAAAGAATTAATACATTTTTGTGGGAGAAGAAGAAAAAAAATCCAAAACTGGGGAAGGAGTTGGAGAAAACCAGTAGGTAAAAGTTGTGCAGGTCAGCCCAGCATGAAGTGAACCCACTATGAAACAGAGACTGCTTGGGGAAGGAGCCATTAAGGCTGTGACCCTTTTTATCCAGTGCAAGAGGGGACGGTCTGGCAGAGTGCATTTTAGCTTGGCAAGGAAAGAACGACTGGTCCAGCTAGAAAAATGAGGCAGCTCTGGAGAGCTGAAACATCTCTTTCCACAGTGGCATTCAGACGGGTCTGCTTTCTCAGGAGAGCACAGAGGGAATCCTCACAGCCACTTGCAAGAAGCCAGGCAAGGAACAAAAACCTGTCATCATCTGTTCCTCAGTCCCCCCAGCTCCACCCCACAAGACATTTTCCAGACTTTCCAGTCAGCCCTGAGGTGTTGACTGGTGCACCAGCTTCATCAGCTCTCTGGCATGATCTCGCTGCATTCCCTCCCACCTTCAATGAGATAAGAGAGGGAATGTCACACAATGGGTGTTACTGCTCAACTCTGGAAACCAAAGCAAACATCGGGACATTTGCTGCCAGTCCCAAGGAAGGCATGGGATGAGTCCCCCGTGGGAGCAAAAACATTTTTCCTGTTGAAACTCAACTCTGAAAAGAGCTACTTTCAGGGTAGCTGGGGACAAACAAAGGAGGCTTCATCAGGGAGGGATCAGAGAAGGGAGCACTTGGCAGGGAATTGCACTAACTCAGGTAATTTGAATGCTTCTGATTATCAGAGATGATTCACTTCTGTTCACTTTGCACCAAGTATTGTGAAAGACATTGCATTTATCTGCATTGTCTCACTGTTTCACAACATGAGCTTAAGATATAGTTACTACTATGAGGATGAGAAGGCTTGGGCATCCAAAACCCTGACACCAGCCCAGGAAATACTGGAAAGGACTTTGGTAAATCCAGACAAATCAGGAAATGCGATAAAAACCTCAACTCTCTCCTTCTCTGTTAAAGACATGGTGTGAAACCCCTGAAAACAAAAATGCAGGTGTTCTGAGACAGCTGTCTGCCAAGAAGTCAAAAAGATATTCCTGTGTCTGGAAAGATTGCTTTGATTTTTATCACCACAAGCTAAGTTTTGCTTGTAGAGAATCAGACTTACAAGGAACACACTGTTACTCATTAGTATATGGAGTCACTCTGAATAAGCTTATGGACAATTCTCAATCTCGGACGTTCTTGTTAGATGGAACACCTGGAGCTAAAACCAAAAAAAGTCATAGTTGTTATGGTGTTACTTATCAGATACAATCAACATGCTCTGAAATAATGGTTCTCACTGCTCAACCAGCGCTGGTATTTACTGTCGCTACTGTCAGAAATGCTCATGCTGTGGGTGTCGTAGAGGAGGCAGGATTATAAAGCATTGGCTTCCATTCAAGCATCTAAATTAATAGCCATGTTCAGAGGAGATCCGAATGCATTGGACACAGTCTGAAAGAACTTCTTAGCTAAAGTAAGTGTTTCTTCACCAAAGGAGGCACATTTTTTAAAAAATGAAGAAGGAATGGAACAGGAGAAAGGGATACAACTTTACTCCATTCTCCCCAACCCTTGCCTTCCTTCCGCCTCAGCAATACACAACGTCTTCTTGGCCAGGGAGAACATTCCCTCTCCAAGGTCCTATATCACAAGGTTAAAAGCCTGCAGTTATTAGGTAATAGTTGTAAAGTGGTAGCACCTAAGTAAATGCAGCTTATGTAAGACTCTGTACATACAGATATGCACCAGGAGCAGATCTTGGGAAATATGGTATAGTCCCTGGTAGGCAAAAAAGGGCAGAAAGGAATCAAGTACAGTAAAGAGGACAACTTGACTAAGATCTCCGAGGCCCTCAGCAGAGGAGCTGGGAAGAGATGCTAGCACTGCCAAATCCCCATATAGCACCCTACTTCTCCAGAACAACATTCACCACAGCTCACATTTTGTTGTAGACAAGTGGCATGGCCCCAAATTAAATGACAGCAGTGAGCAAAGCATGGATTGTCCTATTAACTGAGTATCTGTGCAAGGTTGCTAAACAGGAGGTAAGAGATACGCATCGGACTCTGATGAATGAAACACAAAAAGATACAAGCACAATCATACGCTTATTGCTGTAAAGAGCTGAACTCTGTAATTATCATCTGTGGGGAAGTGTCTCAAAGAGAAAACAAGAAAGGAAATTGCAATGTGTCTATTTATTTCCATAGCTACTGTATGACTAGGAGTCACTCAGCCTCTGCTATTTGTAGGAGGGTTTCCCAACAAAACATACCAAAGGCGCAGGAAAAGGGCTTGTGTATTGTTTTCTCAGCACACAGCAACAGCCTGACAGGTAGAGCTCCCCACCCCGTAAAGGAGAGGGTGTGAAAGCATGCTTTCCTTAGAGGCAGCGGGGCATAAATCACGAAGCCAGGCTCAGGGCCGGGAAAAAGAGACACGCAAATGTTCAGTGATATAGGAGGAAGCTGAGGTTGTTGTCAGTATCTGCTTCACCACTGCAGGGACAAAGAGAGGTGACATGCTGGAACAAGCAGACTGGCAAGTGCCTGGTCTGCCAGGTATGATGATAACTCTTGTGCTATCCATTTCCCAGGTCTGCTGACCACGGGGGCTCAGGGTACACCAGACACCCGTGGTCTAAGTGTGCTGTTTACATTAATGACTCTCTTATTATCACACAGTCCTTAATAACGGAAAGGCACAACGGTCCAAACTTACCAGTCTCTCAACCCTCTCGCTCAGGTCTCTAAACCTTCCTGAGGACTGTCTGGACAGTTCATTACTGTACCGGATATTGGTGATTTTTATGTTGCCACTGTAATAGAACAGCTTCTGATCTGCAAGGGAAAGAAGAGGAACAGGCAATACTCAAAGCACCAAGGCAAATGAACTTCAGAGAAACACCCGGGGCTGACTGATATCCAGATGTCTAGGGAGTGGATGAGCCTGCATGTGTATCCAACCTGTTTAAATACGGTTTCCAACAGCTAGGAGCCCAGGAGCAAGAGCTCGGTTGAGTTAGGTGATCTACACCAAGTAGTGACACCAGTTTCCCCAACAGTTACATTCGCGGCCAGCCAACAGGACTTTGGGCTCACACAGGACCACAAGCTGTGTCTTGCTGGTCAGCTACCTTCCCTCCTGGCCTGTACGCCCATGCAATGCCAAGCCCTGGCAGGCGGCTGCTGGTGACTGGGGCAAGGGGGCAGAGAAACACCACAAGCAGAGACAAGCGGAAGGCTCTGTTTGTCACTCGCGCAAGGGAGACCAGAAGACTTGTGTGTTGACCTCATCAGAGAAGTAGATCATGAGGAAGATGTGAAAGGAGAGAAAGCAAGTGAAAGCCAGCAGAAACCACCCTGCAGAGCAGGAAATGTTCCCAAGAAATCTGCAAAGGTGCTAAATGAGGAAGAAAAGACAGCTCTAGAGAAGCTGGTGATTTTTCCCCAAATGAGCTTTAGACAGACTGATGAAAAGCAAACTCCCAGCACCGTGTGGCACAACAAGCACAGAGGAGATGCACTAAACATAGGAAGAGTGACATGTTAGGTAAAACTTACCATATGCCAGAAAATATACTAGGAGACCAATGGTGACAGCTGCTGCCACTGCTGTTCCAATAACAATAAGAGCAATTTTCCAGGGCTCGAGATGTCTTACTTGGATGGCTGGCTGATGAATTCTGGGGGAAAATAAGAATAATAAAGGGAGAAGATTAATAAGAGATCCTTTTCTATTTAAACCCCCCTAAAAACTGAAGCTCACATTTTCTCCCCGAATATCAGGTGATTCTTCCCAGCAGTATTAATTGACTTCTCACCCAACACCCTTGAAAATTAAACCATGACTCAAGACTATTTTGAAATAGATGTTGGGATATGCTAGAAGTCATAGAACAAAGACAGGGTTTGAGGGTTTGCCTTTATTATTATTATTATTATTATTATTGCCAAATTAAATAGGAGTCCCACTAAGCAGTTTCTTATGTGACCCCTGACTGGAAATTTGCAATAAAAACCCCCTCATTTCTCACCTAGGTGAACTTTCATACAGCAAGGTAGGCAGTTTTCAAGTGGTTAAATAAATCAGTTATCATAGACACACTGGCACCTTTGCTCCTAAAACTGCTTTGTGCAATAAAATTGGTAGAAAGCATCCCATGCTTTATATAGTACTTATCTATACATTATCCAAGCTGCTCGGTCCACTTCAGCCTGCAAAGCAGGGCCAGACAAAAAAGAGAAAGAGATTTCAGAGGGCCAGCCTGTGCTGACTGTTTTATTCAGACTAAATCTAAAAGCAAAAGTGCTGCTTTAAGCAGTATTTGCTGAAGTGATGGATTGACAGGGAAAGACAAGGACATGTGAGCAGACCAGGGAACACAGAAGTATCTGGCGAGGCTTCCTACCTGTCTGCCGTGTTCTTAATTTGGATTAGCACCTGTGTAATTAACCCAAGGAAAGTCAACAGTCAGTAGGTCAGTATTACAGTTAGACAAAAAACTGCCTGAAAAAGGTTACTTACAGCAAATTCTGCCTTTGGCCATAAACTCAAAGACATCTGAAGATCCTTAAGGCCATTTTTCTATTATGTTACCAGCCATTACAAAATACAGAACAGGAAGCCACAATTTTTGGCAGAGTCTCCTTCATTCTAGAGCCAGCTACCTCACTCATGCAAACATGCACACCTTTGGGTTAAGGTACAGCCTCCCCCAGGAAAGCAAGCTGCAGGGATCCTCTCCTGAGGGTATAGAATCATAGAATAGAATCGTTTAGGTTGGAAAAGTCCAACCGTTAACCTAATACTGCCACCCCACCACTAAACCATGGCCCTAAGCACCTCGTCTGCCTGTCTTTTAAATACCTCCAGGGATGGGGACTCGACCACTTCCCTGGGCAGCCCGTTCCAGTGCTTGAGAACCCTTTCGGTGAAAAAGTTTTTCCTGATGTCCAACCTAAACCTGCCCTGGCACAACTTGAGGCCATCTCCCCTTTGTCCTATTGCCCGTTACCTGGGAGAAGAGACCGACCCCCCCTTCACTACAGCCTCCTGTCAGGCAGCTGTAGAGGGCGATAAGGTCTCCCCTCAGCCTCCTTAGGTAATGAGGCATCTCAGTGAGTTCCCACATTCATAACAAAGTACATATAGCTCACTTCGGGAACACATAGCTCATCAAACATGAGTTTAAATACATTAAAATAAGTTGAAAATAGTTGCAAGTGACCACTGCAGCTGCATGCAGGAATGAGAGAGCAAGCACACTGTACACTGCACATAAATAACGAAGCAGGTTCTGGTATGTCATTCTATTTCATTGTAAAGCCTTACAATTACAACCTTATTACTTCGGCTTGAAAAACAACTGACTCGGGCTAAATATTGTGACATTTGATTGATTGAAAATAGGAATACTCATGTTGCTCCTATGTGTTCTGACTTGTCCTGGATCTCCTAGCTAATGTTTCTTTCACTCCTGCTATCCTCTAAAACAGCTATTAATTAACCTTTCCTCTCATCTGGTTTGCTTCAAAATGCATCTGTGAACCCACAGCAGTAAACAAAACGAAACAAAGGGACAGAAATGAAATGGTCCTCTTAAGGGTTTGGAGATGAGCAGCTCCAAAGTTATTTCTGAGACTCCTTAAGGTAACTTCTGTAGGGAAGTTACCTTAAAACTTTAACTAAAGAAATGAAAAATACGCAGGTATAAATAGCCAAGACTCTACCTCATTAAGAAGAATATTTCTAAATAGTAGCTCTTAGGTGAAACCACAAAGTCAGTGGTAAGTTCAGCTTTGATTTGTCATGTGGGTTTGTTGGTTGTTTTTTTTTTATTGCCACTCCAGCTAGTAGTCCTTTGCATGGCTTATATGCTTTGCAAAAGTTTCTGCTATGTTTGAAGTGAGACTAAGTTACAAGAAAAGCCAACAAAATGAACAAAAAACCCTCCACATTTAACTTGACACAACTTACTATCATTCATTCTTGTAGATACTCTCATTGAAAAAGCAGTTGTCTTGATTAAACTGCATGGAAGGAAAAACACTCAGAAGGTCTTTCAGCTATAGTGATCCTGGCATAGCCCCAAACCAAAATGCTGGGTTTGAGAAGTCTCTTTGAAAGGCTGAATGCCACCTCGATACCGCAGCAGGTGGGAGACTTTTAAATATTGAGTACTATATCATTTGAAAGCTTTTGAGATTTTTTTTTTAAATTAGTATAACATTTTTTAACTCTTATGCTTTATTGCTTCCCTTTCAAGTTCCATGTTATCATTTAGCAAACAGAAACCCCAGTCCACGGCAGTTACTCACATGTGTAATTTTACTCACACATGTGACTCACTTAATTCATGAAACCTATTTGAGAGCATCATTTCAAAGAGGTGCAGAGGGGATTCAGCATCAGCTTCTAAACTGAATTTCCTCAGACAAGAAGCTGTTTGATAAATGCATCTTAGAAAGGCACTTAGAGGGGAGGCTGTTTTGAGACCTCGGATGTCTTCTTTTTCTTCCTTTTTTTCTGAATAAACTTTCCCCCTTCCTTTAAGTAACAACATGAAATGACTGTTAAGGTTTACTCTCCACTCCTAGTTTGTTTTAAAAACAAAAGGTATTTGTGAGTAAAATGCCCTTGGTTAGGCTGTACCATCTGGATACTTCCCCATTTGAACAGACGTGCAGACTGAGCACACCAGGAAGATTTCAAATCCATGTTTTCAAAGATATCTGTGAGACAAAACCACAAAGATTGCTGGGCTGATACTTTTCCATCCCCATTGACTTTGAGGAATGAACCTCAGGAGACAGAGAAAAGCAACAATAAAGCTCAAAAATCAATGATTTCAGACAACATGTCCCATTGTGTAAAGTTGGACGGTACATACAGGGATTCAATACACACAAGACAAGTGAACTGAAACAGCTTCGATCCACATGATGACCCATCAGAGCTTGAATACTCTGCAGAGAGCTCATAAAAGTTCAGTGGGAATTTATTTTCTCCGATCAAGCAGTCCCTGCTAACTTGGTGGGAGCTATCTGCTCCACAGAGATCGAGCAGGGAGCGTAACCTAGAAATGCACAGCAGGATTAAAAACACTCCAGCTGAGGTGGTCACTGAAGTCCTCCAGAACAGAAATGGGGATTTTAAACCTGAACCAAATGCCAGCTGAAAGCCTCCCACTGAGCTCAGTGGGCTTTCTGCCAGCGTCCCTTCTGCCTGCAGCCTGCATGGTCCTCCCCTCCACCCCAGAGACTCTGCTCTTTCCCAGACAGCCATGCCTGGGAAGTAATCTTAAATACACTGAAGTCAGGGCTGGATTTCATCTCTCAGCAGAAGACTCCAAATCCCAGATTAAGATTTGTCTGATTAGGAAGAGGAGTGAAATATTTGCCAGCAAAGAGAAACAAAAACCGATATCAAGTTGCCCACACTGACATAACAAATTTACTTGGTTGTCCTCTCTTTGTTTCCTAATAATTCCCAACACTGCCTTGGCTTTTTCAACTGGCATTCATCTGGCATTTTCCTAGAAAAACCCACTGAGACCTTTCCTGAGTGGTGGCAGGTGATTTGGAGATCTGCATTCTGTACTTGGGTTCCCCCCCATCATGAGCACAAAGAAGCCCCCCAGAAACCCTTTCCTCAGTGAGGAGCTCACACCAATAAACACAGAGCCAGAGGGATCCCTCCCCTTATGCATTTTGCAAGGCAGACATAAGGAGGACACAGCTAATTATGTCTGTTGACTTTTAGTAACAGAGGAACATTTTGGGGGAAAAAATCAGTCTCAAAGAAAAGTTTAAAATCTTACCTAATATCCTAACTTGTTTTTTTAAGGGTGCCACTCAATAAACGTATCATAAACATCACATTCGGTAAATCATGCATGCACTTGCCTCACTGCAGCCTGAAACTGTTAGTTCCCAAAAGAAGTGTCTTTTACCCATTGGAATTTAGATTCACTTGTTGCAAAGAAGCAGAATTAAAACTGCCTTCAACGAGTCAAACCGCCTGCTTCAGATGAGAAGCCTCAAAGGTCTTCCTCCCCTGGGCAGAGAGCACGCTCTGACACCTGCGGGAGCCCCTCCATTACCTGCAGCGAGCTTTGTGCCAGAGACGGTGTCTGGCTAAGGCAGCACGCACCGCGGAAGAGACGGAGGCTCTGCTTTGGCATGTGTGCACTGGCAGTGTCTGCTCAAGAAAGGTGCCGACAGGACAGCCTAACAGCCAAACCCAAACCCGTCACCTAGAGATGATCTCTTGTGGGCTATTAAACTTCCTTGGGTTTAGTCCTATAAGAGCTTAGAGCTTTGTCTGCTTAGACAGACAAATTTCCTCCACAATTTTAGAATACGCGCAGTACTTCTCTCTTATTAAGGTGCTTTGAGGAAAAAAAAAAAATTATAAAACCCACCGTATTAGCCTTCACAGTGATGGTGTTTTAATCTGTTTACTGAAATAAATCTATTTGCTGGTATAGGGCTGTAAACCAACGATACTTACATCACTCCTGAAGAGTTCTGCAAGCCTGATACAACAGCCCAGCTCTTCTGCCTTTGTGATAGTTTGTGTGCATCTGTGACAGCTTATATCCACTGAGAATATGACCCAAAGTACCCAGCTTTTCCTGTTGTTGGAAGCTTACGTTTCTGGCTGAATAATAACTTTTTCCATATATTATACTTCATATGTAATAAACAACTGCTAGGCTGGGTATATAAACGGTGAGATGCTGTAATCTAGCAATGTATTTTCAGTGAAGAGAGAGGGACGAATGTCTTCATGGGAGAAGTGCTGCTGAAATTGGAGAAGGCTGCTTAGACAAGAGTTCAGCTGAGACTGAAACTCCAGGCAATTCTCCAGTGGCAGAGAAGCCGGACAGTTCCCATGTTCAGTTCTGTACAAAATCTGTCCCCCTGTTGCCACCAAATCTGTCCACAGACCACATGAAGTTTTCAGATTGCCCTGTGTCAGAAGCATATCAAATTAAGCCACCCCAAGCTTTGCGGTAGCTTTACTTCGTTCAGAATGGAGATCTCTGTGTAACCAGAAATACAGACATGGAAGGAGTATGTGATGGAAGCAGAATGAAGACCCAGTTTTAAAAGCTTTTGCTGACCTAAAATGCCCAATCATAAAAATGTCTGTGAAAAAAGTTAATACAGTGAGGCACTTCCGCAACACCCTTTAACAGGAACAGCAGGGGCCAGAAAAGCTGCTGGGTTTACACTGGGGCTTGCTCAGTTAACAAAGACAATCAGATTTTAAGGCTTGGGAGGAGGTCCTTTCTCATTCTGGCTTTCCTGTCTAAAATCATCAGAAACTGAGTGAATGTGGCAAGGAAACACAAATGGTACCAATTCCATACAGGTGTGGTGTGTAGCAGAATCAAAAGTATTTCACTAGGGTTTTCTGGAATGAGGATCTATTCTGCTCGGTTTGCCCCAGAGGAGGTTTCTGTTCAGTATCGTGCAGGAACTGCATCTGCCTCCTGCAATAATCAAGGTTAACTCCCACTAATGCCAGTGGGACATGAGTGTCCTTGCACCAGGGCTGGTATCCATTTCCTGCTACGCCTCGGCAGTCTGTAATTTACACTCATTTCGCCCACCTACCGCATGACAAATTGGTGCAAGTAGTGCTGCATTTCCACCTACATATTCACTTTTAGGCTACCACATCCAACACCAGCTCCTCTGCACCTCACCCCGCCAGGGCACAGGATGTTCACAAGGACGCTGCGGGCAGGGCACGGCATTTGCTTCCCGGGCTGCAGGACACAGCTCAACAGGGGAGGGACAAGACCAGAGAGGCTGTCTACTCCACCCAGTTTTCCTTAGCAGCTTTTCTTCCAGAGGGATTTTTATGAAGCACACGTTCCAACTTAGCTTGAAATATTGTGAATAGAGGCACCTTGGAACTGGATGAAGCTAATACTGAAGCCCCGTTCTTATGAGAGACTAAGGCACAGCATGATGAGCTCAAACAGCAAGGCTTACAGCTCCACGCTCGGGGTCTACATCCCTGCCCAGCAAAGAACTCCAGACATTTAACAGGCTATACGGGGTCTTTGATTAAGAACAGCCAGTCTCCATGCCTTCCCAAGTGTGTAAATATTTAATGATCCAACACAGTTTTCCCCTAACATACTTCAGATTTTATAATCACCTAAACAACTATTTGAACAACTAAATCCCTTCCTAACTAGAAGGCAACCAAACTGGACTCAGATGTTGTTTAACTACCCTCTAGCACACTGTTATTAAAATTATTTATATGACTGTTGGCATCAACAAGACATGACAACTAGATTTACATCTAACTAGAAGAAGGAATGGCTGTTCAATTCTGCTAGGTAGACAACCCTCGCTTAGTGTTCCCTCTTTTTGTAACATGCACAAACTGGTATTTATGACGGATAGGGATTTCTTCCTCACCTGACAGAGCAGCAGAGCTTTTAAGGTACAGATATTAAAGAGGGCAGAGGATCTTTGGGTATTGACTAGGGTACCACTAAGGAGCACAGAACCAAAAGCTGAACGCTGTCTTCTCCTGGCAAAGTCAACACTGTATTGACTAAAATTATATTGTCCTCACAAAATGAGAAAAACACTTGAGTGGGCATAAAGAATAAGTTTTGTCAATCCAAAAACAATGTTGCTATTTCAGCATGTCCAGAAATTATTAAAAAAACCCCAATTTTTACAAATACTGAGGATGGAAAAAATTAGTAGTATCTTGCAATCATCCACAGCCATTTGCCCAAAGCAATGCCAGAGAGGAGACTAATATTGCAGTCTTTAGCAATTACACACAAAAATTCAGTCATCCAGCCAAATCTTTAGGGTGTCAAAAACCAAAACCAAAACGTAAAACATTTCAGATTCCTTTGGATTTTGTTTCTGAGATGATACAACAAAAAACAAATTCAAGGGAGACTGAGCACCTCCTATTGCCACATGAATCCAGGAGCCAGAGCATTAAACAGAAACAACAAATTGCAGAGGGCTCACTGTACATTTATGGCCAGATCCCTGCTCTGACCCAAGAGCATAGTGGAGTGTCACAGCTGGGAGACTTATTTTTGTAACAACACTCTGAGCTTTCCAGCACCATCTTAATTATTGTTAACGGAAAACAAACATCAGGATATCCAGCATCTCTGACTGCACAAAATACTTTCAGATACAAACCACCGTGTCGTTAATCCCTAGAAAACATGGCTTCTTCCTTAAAAGTACTAGGGTCAAAATCAGAATGATGAACACCTATAGTGTTGTCCTTATGCAGTTGTGCTGCCATCACTGATTTAACTGGGACCTTTTGCAGGGTTTGAGGGAATAATATTGCGACTAGACCTGACCAAAACCCATGGTTTCCCAAAATTGTGTTATTAACATTTGATTTTGACACAAAAGAGCTTCCCGGATTCTGCACTGCTGCAATAAAAGCCTGCTGAGGGCAGGATAAGGCAACCACAGGGAAGAAAGGTAAGTGTCAACCTAAGCCATCACATAGTCTTTCTAAACAGAAGGCAAATCTTTGTGCTCCTGGCCGTGCTAGGGAAGGACTTCCCTCTGCATTTCTCATGCCAGCCATAAGTTATTCTTTTCATCCAGACCACAACCTCCAAAACCTCCCTTTCAGCCTGCAAGTTACTGTTTAGCTTCCCCTCCATCTATTGCCCCTTTTTAGGCTGCACATTTTAGACAGATATACGATGTACCCTAGATCTACAAGGATGAAGGGGGCAGAGATAGGTCCAAGATCAGGCAAGAGAATAAACAGATTTCTTTTCTGGATCTCTATATGTCCTTGAAGTCCTAAAGCTCTCCCATAGACAGTATCCTTTATCACCATTACACCTCCAAGTCAGACTTGCCAAGTTAAAACATGCCACCTACTTTTGAAGATCCCATGGTAGGTCCCGGTAGGTCTGGTAGCCTTTCTGACCACCAACCAAGGCTTGACTAAAGTCTGGACTGCGTAGCGAATGCTGCTGGAAAACGCAGGAGTCACATTGACTGGCGTGATGGGAAGAGAAAGGTGTTGAATGAAGATCCTTCATTGAGGTACGGCTGGCGCAACACCCAGCACCCTGTGGGTTATTGCAAAATGAGGGAGCAAACTTCAGAATAAAAACAAACAGAGGCAAGCATGGAGTTGATAAGGAGACTCTAACCTTCAGATCAGCTCCACATCAAAGAGCTCCCCAGGCAGAGATGGACAGAGCAGATAAACCAGCCCAGGCAAGACAACTTGTTCTTCACCACAGCCGAACAGGAAGTGCGTGAGATTTCCCTTTTCCAGCACTCCCTTTCTGTCCAACTTGTATTCCTACAGCAGGCCTGCCCCTGAGTGGCAGCACCTTCCACTGTACACTGACTGTAAAACCCACACAGGAGAGGCACCACACTGTCCACAACGCTAAGTCACTCGCCTCCTGAGATAGCCAACACAAAGGCCAAACACAAACCCAAATACAGTCGTAAATGGCTTGGCCAGCCAAGCCTGATCTCCCTCGGTGCTCACTCCTCCACAGCTGTCCTGGACTCCCTTGGCATCAGGGACATGACAACTATAAGTATCCAGCCTCCTAATTACATGTTAGTCATTTAATGATTGGCATAACCCCGCCTGTGGAAAATGCTTACTCTGTGAAAAGGCCCACCAATCTCCTTGGAATTCCCTTCTCCCAGCATAAACGTGGTTCTTCAGAGCCAGCTGGAAAGGGGAAAAATGGGTAGTCTCTAGTAGTGAGAAATTCTGCACTTGCATCTAAAAATCTCAAACCAGAAAGGGAAGTTTCCAGAAACCAAACTTCTGGTTTCTAGTCTTTGGTGCACTTGAATTTGTGCCAAAAAAGTTTGAAGTATTTGGTTTTCCAACGAAGTCTCAAGACTTCAGAGTAATTTTTATGGGAACACTTGTTATCTTCCAGAAAGAACCTCAGCAACAGAGGGTAAAAAAAAACAGCAAGAGGAAAATTTCACCTAATCGTACCTAGTCCTTTTCCACCTTGCCCCAAAGATGCCCGTTCACAGGCACTTCAGTACAACTATAGAAGCAAGTGTCAGGACAGCCCATTTTTAGGACAGAGGGAAAAGCTGAGCACTGCTGCATGGCATCTCCCATTTCTCTAACATCGATTTCTTCCTTTGCTTTGAGCAGATCAATTGCTTTTTTTGGCTTCTCCCAGCTCCCTGTAGAAAAGGCATTGTTGCAGTTACCTACCTTACGTGGGGCTTTACTGACTGAACACAGAGTTACCTGTCAAGTACCAACACCCTCCCTGAGCAATCCCTTCCCCTTCCCCCCATCCCACCCTGCTATTTTCTTTTTCAAGATTAGTAAAACTCAAAAAAGTTTGTGCACAAAGGAAATCCCTGCTCCACCCAGAAACACACATACACCCACAGGAACCGCAGCACTCAATGGAGTGCTGGAGATCAATTACAAACCAATTCAATCTCAGAGTCAAGAAAATACCTTAGAATTCCTTGGTTTAAATTTTTTTTTTTTTTTTTTTTTTTTAATATTGTGATCACAAAATCTGTCACCCTTACAAAAACACACTTCTAGAATAGAAAAAGCTTATTTAGGTTTGGGATGCAACACAAAGAAGCGCATAGCAATTTCTGCCCGGAATGGTCAGGCTGAGGCTGTGCGTAGTGGTCTTCTCACAGAGATAAGAGTCGGCAGCACTGTTAGTGGATTACCAACATTCACTTCTTCATTAGTTTTTAGAGACTGCTAACTGGGTGCCCTGAGTACCCAGGCCCAGCGCACTGGCAAAAGGTGGCCCTTGAGGTGTTTACCCTGTAAGATGCACAGAACTTTCCCTGATGTGCCCAGAAGTTCAAAGGCCAGCTCTACCCACCTGGGTCAGGTAAAAACCATATTCCAGCAGAAGCAGGTTTTAGGAAGCAGCTAGAGTTTGAGATAAAAGTTACCTGAGATCTTGGGCTCTGCCATCTCTTGTGGAGATGAAGAGCAGTCATTGGAAGAACACCAGGTTGCAAAGGGTCTTAGGAGGTGTTGCTAGAAGAAAGGTCTTGGGCAACAGATGAATAAACTTCTGGTAACTTTCAGAGCACACCAGGACAGACCTTCCTGTTGTTACTCCAGAGCATGAACAACAGAGACATTCCAAAAACATTATTTGATTCCCTTATGGTCAAGAATTTGTTGATCTGCCTAATAAAAATTGAAGTAGGTTGCTTTTGGTTTTGACTGAATTAACCATTAAAATGAACTGTGCTGGAAAACAGTGGAAAATAAGGAAGCACACTTGCCTGTGTCAGATTATGCAAAATCAATTTTACACATACCTGTCCCCCAGGAACAACAGTAGAGACATACCAAGAAAAGACAGTCATTAAGGAACAATTTTCCTCACAATAAATTAGCAAGTTGCAAAAGTGCTTGGTATTATGGTTTATTCAGTCAGCTGAGGCAGTTACTAAACTTTTTGGTTGATACTAGGGAAGCAGTACAGAAACGAATTATCAAAGCGTGGGGTGGAAATCTGAGAATGTGGGTGCACAGGATTTTGTGAATGAAAGTGTAAAAAGATGTAATGACCATTCTCCCCGTTTAACCCTGCAAAGTCAGCCCAGCCGGTCAGACAGACTGCTTGCCTAAGAATGGTAATAATAGGCTACCTTGCTTTCTGTTTGCATTCTTACATAGGCTCCCTGGCTGTAGAGCCGAAGAACGCCTTTAGAGAAGACCATTGGCCAGCCCCACAGCAATAACATATTCGGAATTTACAAGCAAAGATGTTTTACATAATTGTCTACCAGTTACTCAACCCGGGCCATGAATTTTAGACCAAAGACAGCAGTCAGTCATTACTTTTAAACTGAGAAGCGAATGTTCTTGCCAGCGATGTTTAACAGAACTAACAGAAGAACTGTTAAACAGCACGGCCCTAAAAAACCTGAATAATTAAACCTGCTTTGAGCAGGGGGTTTGATGAGGTGACCTGTGTACCTCCCTCCCAATCTGAACTACTCTGTGATTCTGTCAGCATCAGAGACCAAATGGGTACACTGCAGTGAAATTCTTCCCTAGGACAAGTCCACCATTTTCCATCAGCCCACCTTGACAGGTCAGTTATGGCTTCGGGCCTCCCCCCTCCTGAGAAACAAAGGCATCTTGCATTTGGCCTTCAAAATTCAGTGGAACCTCTAGATGAGCTGCATTTTCTTTACGCTTTTTAACTTCAGCTGTGCACATGCTACACAACTCTACTGTTTTGACAAAACAAGTAATCAGTTTATTATCCCATACTTTCCTTTGCCACATGAAATTCCCAACTGTGGCTTTTAATAACTGATATGTAGAAAAACAAAACCAGAAAATCTACTGAAAGGATAGAATGATTCTCCAGAGCCAATTTCAGGGCTGAGGGAGAAGCCAGGTCCTCTGTCTTGAGCCTTGAAAAGCCACTCGGGGCCAGATTTTATTACATGCCCATGCAGCTTTGAGATGCTAAGCTCGTGGAAGCTTTCAGATGCTACAGCAATGGCCTCAAGCTCTGAAGTATGCTAGATCCTGCCCTGGTTGGTTTCCAATTAGTCCCTCTTTCCAGGCCCTTGTAACAGAAACTGTTACACCCATCTGAGTTGCAGCCGGATAGGCAAGCTCAGAGTACTGACAGTGCCCTCGTCAACACTGAAGTCCCCCACTGCCAGAGTCATTAAAAATGAACTCATAGCCTGTTGCCCCATTTAAGGCAAAAAGATAGCACACACGTACCCGTCCTCCGCATCTGCTCAGCCAGAGCTGCTACTTGGTATAGAGAAATAGGCCAGCCTGCATTTTCCTCCAGGTTTTGCCTAGCAATCAGGCTAACAAGTTGCTCTCTACATCCACTGCTTCCAGTCAAGACGCACAGCATCTCCAAAGAGACAGGAGATCTTTGTATGAATTGGACTAGGCCTACAAAGAAATAAGGGACATTAAGATAAAAATAAATTCTTTACAGGCACAGCTCAAATTAAGTGAAAGAACAGCAGCATTGTTTCACACATCAGAAGCGCTAGAGAGATTTACTGGGAGCACTAACACAGATCTCTGCAGAAGACAACACACTCAGAACAAGACTTTTTCTACATCTATATATACCCAAAAAATGGTTGGCTTGGATTTGATTTCATATAATTTGTTAGCAGCTAACTTGCCTAGTGGAAGCCAAACAGAGCCTGGCTCTTTGAGATGCTTTCTGCCACAGCTATCGTCTGTTCCAGTTGGCTCTGCAGCAGCATGCAAGATCCTAAATGTGATTCTTGTGAGCAGTCACCTGATTTATTATAAACTGCATTACCCTTCAAGGCTTCATAGACTAAATCAGACACAATGAAAATCAAGCCCAAGATCTCCATCCTGCAGCCGTTTCGACTCTGTCCTTTCAGCCACAGTTCAAGAGCTGAGTCACGCTGACAGAAAAATGCAGCAATGCTTCCAGCAG